CGGTGTGGGTGCAGGGGGCGCACACAGCCTCCACTTCTTCCACCAAAGCCTGGGCATCAGAAGCCACCTATCCCCATGCCCTCCTGGTTCCAGGGCGCCTTCCCTTTGTCCCCCCACTTCTCCCTCCCCTCAGAGGCTTCGAGGCCATCCCTCCTCCACTGCAGGTGTGAATAGACCTTGAACGCTTTGGCTGTCTTGTGGCAAGACCTAGGGAGACCCTGGTGCGAGGCCTGAAGTCTGGAGGGATGATCTGTATTGGTAGAGCCCTGCTCCCCACCCCCACACCCCTGTGTGTCCTCAAACTAGTAGGGGCTGAGCCCATCAGCGGGGGAAGAGGGGTTGCCCATGGTTTCCTCGAAACAAGCCTGGGTCTGGGCAGCAAGTCAGGGGCTGTGCTGCCTGCCTGCCTGCTGGGGCTACGTGAAGCCCACGCTTGTCTTTCTGCAGCCCCGCAGGTGGAAGGTGATAAATGCGGGGTGCAGTGCCGGCCAGCTGCCCCTCCTGAGATAAGGGGACTGGAGCAGGTGGGAGTGGGCCAGGCCCAGCTGGGAGAGAGGCTTCCCCTTTTGGATGGACTGGGGATGCCCACTTTGGCCTGCTCTCTCCTGCATTCTAGCTCTCCAGCTTTTGGGGGTGCAGGAGAAGGGAGCTGGAGGCAGGCACAAGCACAAACAGACTGGAGTTGCAGCATTTTTCGGCCTCTTTATTTAGAACCCGGCGGACGGGGGGCCGGGGCAGTGGTACAGTCGGCTCAGGAACCATTTTAACAGATTTGTCTTCAAGTTTAAGATAAACACAGTAATAATAAGAGAGAGAGAGAGAGCGAGCGAAAGCGCGAAGAGACTGCAAGCTAGGTGGGCGTGTATGGCAGCTACAGCTTGTGAGTGACCCTTTCCCCAGAGTCCGATATGAAAATAAAGTTATACACTTGTCAATAACGGGACGATGTGGGAGATGGAGTGTGCCTTTGGCATAACCAATAACCGAGCTAGTGCGTGGCAGAGCGGTCCACGCCTGGATATAAATAGAAAATATAAGTTAGTATAACTTTAAAAACTTTTTGTACAAATATACATGGTTTTTTTTATTTTTTACTTTTTTTTTACTTTTTTCTTTTTTTTGCACTGAGTTTCAGCAGAGATTAAACATTTTATATAAATGACTCTTAAAGCTTTACACCTTGGGACCAGTGTACCTTCTCGTGCAGAATACATTTAGATATAAAAAGACGTAATCAATACATTGCACAGTTTTCAGAATTTAAACACCGAACGCTGCTCTGCGGCAGCCGCCGCCGGTTGCTGCTACATGAACGGTCCCAGCCGAGGCCCCAGCGCCCTTCCAACGTCCGCTGCCCCGGCAGGTTCCCTCGGGGCTCTTTGGGCTCTAAACTGCAGAGGTGGGGAGAAGAGGGAGGTCAGCAAAGTCCGAGAGCACCCCGCGGGACGGCCCCCCGTGCCCCCCCAGGTGCACCGTACTCACTTGGCTCACCGCAGCCTCTTGCGCGGGGTCTGCTCCACCGAGCCCACGCCGGGGGCGCCGCTGGGAGCAGGACACGGCGGGGGGACATCTCCCGACGCCTTCTCAGGCGCAGATCTCTTGCGCTTGGCGAAGAAATCTGCGGGCGACAGCGCGCACGGCCGGTCAGGGCGGGGCCGGCCGGGAGACCCAAGAGGGGGCCGGGAGAGGGCTTGGGGCTCGGGCCGAGGGCCGGCCGGGGTGGGGGCGCCGTCCCTGCCCGCGCCGAGGTCTACGGCGGGTCAGCTTTGTTTACGTCGCCGCGCAATGTGCTGTGTAAGCATTTCCCCTTGTCCCGCGGCCAAGCCCCCCGGGGCCGCCGCCGTGCTTAACCCCCTCCGCGCCGCTATCACGACGCTCGGCGGAGCCCGGGGAGGGTCTCCCGTGGCCGGAGGCGAAGGCCACGCTCCCGGGGGGTCGCGGCCGGGGCTCCTCCTCCCACCCCGCCCGCGCAAGCCGCTCGAGGGCACGACCAGGGGGCAGGGAGGGGGGTGCGGGCGTAGCCGCGCCCTGAGCGCTGCGGGCCCTTTAATGCCACGGGAGGAGGCGGGAACCCAGCGAGGCCCCCCGAGGGCTGGGGAGACCAGCCGGCCGGACAAAGCGGGGCCGGGCCGGGCCGGGGCGGGGCCGTGCGGGGCTCACCGGAGATCAGAGGCCCGGACAGCTTCTTGATCGCCGCGCCGTTGGCGCTGGCAGCAGCGGTGCTGGCCGCTGGACGTCCAGAAATCCCCGAGTGCAGCTGGTCAGCGAGAGGCTCCTGGCCGCGCTGCCCCTGGTTCGCGCCCTGCTCAGCACTCTCTTGAGGCGCCGCGTCCGGGGCCGGGCCCGGGACGGGGGCCGGAGCCAAGGCCGGGCCCGGAACCGGGCCCGGGGCTGGGCCCGGGGCCGGGGCTGGGGCCGCGACCGGAGCCGGGGCCGGAGCCAGAGCCGGGGCCGGGGCCAAGACCGGGGCCACGACCGGGGCCACGACTGGGGCCACGATCGGGGCCACGACCGGAGCCGCGACCGGAGCCGCGACCGGACCTGCGATCAGACCCGGAGCCACGACTGGAGCCGGGACCGGAGCCGGGATCTGAACCGGGATTAGACCCGGAGCCACGACCGGAGCCACGTCCGGAACCACGACCGGGGCCGGAGCCAGGACAGGGGCTGGGGGCGGGGTGGACGGCGGGGCCGGGACCTGGACATTAGGCAGCTGCTCCGGCGCCTCCTCGAGGCCGTCGAGGGACTCAGCGGCCGGCTCGAGGGGCGGGCTGACAGCCACCGCGACCGCGACGGGCCGCGGCGCCAGCAGCAGGCGGCAGCGCCCCACCTGCACCGTCTCGCGGTAGAACGCGGGCACCGACTCGCTGTCCACTTCGGTCCACTGCAGGCGTCCGGGGCCCCGCAGCGGCATGTCCTGCTGGAAGTCGTAGTCCCAGCGATTCTGGTCCTCGGCGTTCAGCTCGGCCAGGCGGGCCTGCAGCTCGCGGCTCAGCTCCTCGTGGTCCACCGGGCCGAAGAGGCTGCGGCAGGCGCTGGTGCGCACAAGTACTGGGAAGGTCCCACGGGCGACAAGACGCTCCATCACGGATGTGCTGCGGAGGGACGCGTCGGACATGGCCAGGGACTGCGCGAACGCGGGCAGCGAGAGAGGAGAGGACAGCGAGAAGAGGGGGAAGAGGAGAGGAGGAGAGGGCGGAGGCCGGGCGCAAGGGAGACCCCGCACAGCCCGACGCTGCGTGTGCGGGGGACGCGGCGGAAGGGCGGGCGCGGCGGCTACCTGGCGGTCGGGTCGAACACTCTCCTGCGTCGAATTCGCTGGTCTGGTCGGGCTGGTAGCCGCGCCCCCTCGATGCCTGCTGGCTAGCTCGCTCGCTCGGGCCTGGCTGGCACCCCTCGAGCACAGCGCACTTGGCCTGTGGAACGCCCAGCCCGCCTGCGCCCGCTTTATACGCGCGGGCCCCACCCCCGTGCGCGCGGGCCCGGCCGCGATTAGCATAATGTAGTATTTTCAGTTTCAACAACACCGCGGCGATTGGTGGCCGCCCCACCACCCCGCCCCCTCGCGGCCCGGCCCCCGCGCGCCGCCCATTGGTCGCGAGCACACCCACCGAGGGCGAGGCGGGGCGCGCGGCCGGGGCGCGCGGCTGATTGGCGGCCGCGGGGTGAGCGCGCTGTAGCAGGGGAAGGGGGCGGTGAGCGGGGCGGGGGCGGGAGTTAAAGGGCGCTGCGGGCGGTAACGTGACACCGCGACGCCCCGCCCCCTCGCCCCATCCCCCCCGGCCGCCCCCCCCCCCCGCGCCCGCCCCCCACCGGCTCCTTTGTCTGCAGGCGGGGGCCTCGGCCCAGCGCGACAGGGGCCGGCTCCCGGCGGGTCCGGTGTCCGGCCAGGCCCGGCTCGACCCCGGCCCGGTCCGGACCCCGGCGCCCAGCCCCGTCCCGTGCTCGCCCCTGGGCCTCCTGCGCCAGCTGACGGGACTTGGACCCACCGCTGCCAGCTCGGCCCCGGCCTGCGCCGGACGGGGTCTTCGGCTGCCCCCGCGCGGCCTGCTGCTGCTGCTGGGTTGTGTCCCTTCGAGGGGTCCGCGCACCTGGAGCCCTCACACACCTGCTGGCCCGAAGGCCCTCGAGTCGGGAGGGGGGACGGGGTCAGCTCCGCTCTTTCCCGGAGGGACCATGTGTAGGACACTTGGAGAGGCTCCCTCCAGCCCCCTGGGGCTGGAGAGAGAAGCCGCTATCTGCGGAGGCCCACCCTGCCCAGTAGATGGAACGCAGGCTTAGCCCAAACTGGGCTGTGCCCATCATGTCACTGTCGGGGGTCCCGGCCCCCCGCAGCCTTGGGCCAGACCACTCCAGCCCCGGGATCTCCCTGTTCAGGCTGGTTGGAGGCTGTTGTACTGGGTAAAAGTGAAAGATCTGCCTGAGGTCATAGGGGAAGGGGCTGAGAAGGACCATGCCCCTCCCCCACCTGCAGCCCTTCCTGGTACAGACCTTGGTCGTGCAAGCGCGCAAGCGCGCGCGCACACACACACACACACACACACACACACACACTCTGCTTCACCCCTGCCAGACCAGACCCAGAGAGACCATTCTTTCTCGCTCTCTCCCCTTTGCCCCACCTACCATGAGGCAGGGAGCCCCCTCCTCAAACTGGGAGCCATCCAGGTCGAGAGGGGGGACTGTCAGACACCTGTTGGAGGGTCCAGCAGTCCATGAGCTCTGAGCCCCTGTCTCCAGTGAACCTGTGAGCAGCCAGAGACATCTGGGAGGGAGGGACGGCAAGGCCCCTTGAACCCCAAGCAGCCTGCCTCTGAGTCCCAAGACACCCCAGCCCCCATGAAATGCTGTGACAGCGTGCAGATGCCGCTAGGGGAGCAGGGTGGGTCTTCTGGGTCTGGGGGAAGTGAGATCTGAAGTGAGGGGGGAGAGCTGTCCTGGACAGGGCGTTAACCCAGGAGAGGGGCCGGGACCCTGGATGGCAGAACCAAATGCAAGGATTTATGTCGATTTCATATTCTCTGTGCACCATTTTCCAAGTTTCCCACAACAAGCACAGATGTTACAATTTTTATTTTAGGAAAACAGAGAAGCTGAAGAAGGCTCCGCAGGCCCTGTGAACCCCTGAAGCAGGGCTCATATCAACTGGCCTGGGAGCAGAAAGAGGCAGGGTCTAGTCAGGCCCCTGCCCCTGTACCACTGCCTCCCCAGAGACTAGGAGCAAAGGGCCAGAGTGGGTAGTGACCTAGTGGCCCTCAGACACCCACACTCCAAACATCCAGACCCGCTGGCCCTAGTGACACCCCTCGGAGGGTGTAGCTGCCTCGCCCTGTGTTATAGAAAAGCAGCAAAAGCAGCAAAGAGACTTCGTCGGCCCCTGAGGCCGCACAGCTGGGAGGAAGCAGGCTCGGCTCAGAAGCTCCCGGCTGCCTGGCTTTCTGGTTTGCTTTCCACTTAGGTTCCCTGCTTTTATTTTTCCACTTTACCAGCTTAATTACAGAGTCGAACTCGGGGCTGTGAGGACTCCTCCCGTCTTGGCCTCTTTAGAAGTCGAGAGGTGACCTGCTCTAAGTCTGTCCCTCTGAATTCAATCAAGGGTGGTACCCAGTAGCTTATTAAAACTGCACATCCCAGGAGCGGGGACTGTGCCCCGCCAGCCCAAGCCAGGGACACACCTGGTGGAAGGCACCCCAGGAGCTGGGGGCTGGGAGTTCCAGGCTCTGCGAGGGGGCCCAGTCCTGCAACCCAACCAGCCCAGAAGCAAACATCTGTCTGGGTGCAACCATCGAGCTCTATTTTTGTCATTTAAAATGTATCCAAAGGGGAAAAAGAAACCAAAGGAACAATATTTGTACTCTGTGTTGCTGCAGAGAGTAGAACTGGGGAGGGGTGCTGGTCCCAAGGGGTGGGCTGTGCTGTGCTAGTGCCCCAGCTCCTGCAAATGGGGGGGCGCCTCTGCAGCAGAGGAAAGGCAGGACATCCACTAGCCTTTGCATTCTCCTCGGAGCACACAGAAAGACATTTCCCAGCTCTCTTGCACACAAGTGGGCCTCGGGACCCGTTTTGGCCGGGAACGTTTTCAAGAACGCTGCTCACCACTTCCAGGCTGTCACGTCCCAGCCGCCTAGGCAGTCCTTCTGCGCCCTCTGCTGGCCAGATGGAGGCTCGGGCCCCCAGGAGAGAACCACCCTCTGCCCTCGGCATTGCCTGTGTTGGGCAGAAGGAATAAAGTTTGATTGCATCTTAACCCACTAGAAATGTAGGGTTCTCCATCACAGTGGGGCGTCACATACTCTGACACGTAGGGAAGGCATGGGTAGATTTCAGCTGGCCTTTGACAGATAAGGAACCAAGGCTTGAGACAATTAAAAACTGCAGCCGGGCTCACACCTACACCCTCAGCACTTTGGGGACACAAAGGCGGGCGGCTTGCTTGATCCCAGGAGTTCCAGACAAGCCTGGGAAACAGAGAGAAACCCCCTCTACAAAAGATTTAAAAAATAGCTGGGTGTGGTGGTGTGTGCCTGTGGTCCCAGCTACTCGGGAGGCTGAGGTGGGAGGATGGCTTGAGCCCAGGAGGTGGAGGCTGCAGTGAGCCGTGATTGTGCCACTGCGCTCCAACCTGGACAACAGAGCAAGATACCCTCGCAGAACAAAACAAACAAACAAACAAAATGCTGCACAAGCAGTCAAGGCAGGATTCACCTGCAGCCTGACCACTGTGCCTTCCTGCTGCGAAGGCTCCAGAAGCCAGAGCAGCCTGGGGCCCAGCCCTGGTGGAGCTTTGCACAGGAGTCACTAAACCAGCTATTTCCCAGGGACCACCCATGGGCCAGTCCTTGCCACAACCCCACGGGTGGTCAGCCAGTGTCGTAGGCCCACTTCACAACTGAGGTGACAGAGCCGAATGCACTGGCCCATGGGCAGCAGGCCCGGGGTAGACCCAGGAAGCCCCCTCCTCGGCCACATGTGCTTTCTGGTGGATGACCTCCACTCCAGTGCCTCTGCGGCCGCCGGAGGCCTCCCTCTCCCAGGCGTGGTTGTGGCAGCTGTACAGCTGCCTTGATGGCATGTTCATAGTCCCATCAGGAATGGGTGCCGCAGGTGGCTTCACAGAGATACGGGCGCCTGTCAGGCCAGGCCCACTCCCTACCCCAGAGCCCCAGGGAACCCAGATTCCGGGACACAGGACATCCGGCCAGAGGGCCAACTGCCCCTATCAGGGAGGAACCAAGGACAGCCCGGGAGCTCTTTTCTCCTCTCTGACTCAGTGAAAACTGCCTCAGGTCTGTTCCCTGGGTTCTGAAGCCCTGAGCTATCTGCCTTTCAAACAAACAAAGTCCTCAAAGAATGTTCCATTAAGCATGGGCCCACATCATCCATCGATCACAAAGGGCTGAAGAATGCAGGCACAGGGTCAAGATGGGAGGAGAGGTGAGGACTGGACACCACCTGCAACTGTCCGTGCCGCTCCAGGGCCCGTTAGAGATCCGGGTGCCCAGAGCCTGCCCTCAGCAGCACTGCCCTTCCGCAGCACCGCAAGGACCCTGCCAGAGGTGTCTGTGCCCTTCCTGGCTGCCTCCCCAGCTGCTCTCCAGGTGGTGTGCTTTGGAGAGTACCAGAGGGAAATGATTAGCGATGGTAATACTCACTGGCTTCATCCTGTGCTGCTCAGGGCCCTGCCCTAACCCAAAGCTGGGCTCATTGCCTCATCTAATCCTTCCAGACCCCTGAGAGGAGGTGTGTTCATGCCCATTTTGCAAGGGAGGGGACTCAGGCTCCCGGAGGTGAAGCCACCTGCCTGAGACCACTGAGATTTGGGGCTGCCTCTGCCTTTCAGCCAGCCCGAGCCCCTCCATAGGACCTCTGGCAGGAGACAGGAGAGCAGGAGCACACAGAAGTCAAGGGCCCTGGGAATCTCCCCTGGACATCCACCACCCAAGCCCTTGAGCCAGGCCTGGGCATCTGTGCAGGGCACAACCCTGGCCAGCGGAAGGACCCTGGAAGGACCACCCATTAGACCTTAAATGCCATCACCCAGCAGCAGGTCCTCAGACAGCCCTGGACAGGCCCGAGAGACCCCTGTCCCCTGAGCCTCCACCTTCCTGTCCATAAGATGGGGTGGGGAGTCATCCAGCCCAGAGGCCCCAGGGGCATGGGGAGTGACAGATTAACCCAAGGCCCCCACTCCTGCAACAGGCAGCTCATTATACACTAGGCGGGGGCCATGCTGGGCCAGGAGAGCTGCTCCCGCACCAGTTCCCGTGCACAAGGCTCGCCCCACCCCCCAGGACGGGCTGTTCTTGGGGCGGCTGCCAGGCACGTCCTCTGCAGGTGCCGGCCCCCCTCCGGTGACGCGGCCACATGCCGCACAAGCTCTCATTACAGGGACTGCCTTGTGCTGAGGGTTCAGGCTGGGGGTCCTCACTCCCCAGGAACCGATGGGTGGAGCTGGGCAGGCCCTGAGGGGAGGCCCAGTGGGAATAGGGAACAGTCACCCCTGCTCCAGAACCGCCCGGGGCTGCTACCCTCGGGGTCTGGAAGAGAGGGGCCCCCAATCCCAGCCTGCCTGAGACTGCTGGTTTCAGCACTGCATGTCCCAGGAAACCCAGGGTCACTGGTCATCCTGGGCTCCACACAGCCCCTTTCTGGGCTAGGAAGGGGAATCCGAGCTAAGAGGCAGGTACAGGGGAGGGTCTCAAGGACATGCAGGGACCTATGGCAGGCAGCCTGCCAGGCCTTTCTTCCCCTTCCTGCCAAGCCGCAGGACACACACTCAGAGGTCCCAGGCCCAGGCTCACTTTATCAGGGAAACAGCAGGAAAAGCACGTCTGTGTGAGCCGGTCTCCCTTCCCACCAAGCCCCTGACTTCCTGCTGGAGCGGGTGGGGGGGGGGCCCTGTGACCAGCATCTCCTGCCCACGGAGGGGGGCACTAGGGCCCCCAGGCCTCTGCCGGCCACTCCCTCCCACCCTGCTTTCCACACTCAAGCCGTGGCTTTCCCAGAAGCTCAGGGCCCAGGGAGCAGGAATGCCTCCAGAGAGGGGGCACGAGGGCTTCAGGTGCACCCCAGCACTCCCTCCTCCCCTGCGGGAGCAGGGGCCTGAACTTACAGAGGAAGCCCCGCCCCTTCTGGGCCCTCGGGGGTGAAGGGGCTTCCCAGGCCTTGAGAGAGACTTTAGACGTCAGTCAGTTAAACGCTTGCTACATGGCGTGACCTCTCTGAATCCTGGTACCTTCCTATGTGGGAAACTGAGGCCAGAGAGGTGGAGTGACCAGCCCAGGGTCCCCCAGCAAGTCAGAGACAATGAAGCCACCTCCTGCCCTGGGCTGGGGTCCCGCCCCACTGACCTCCAGTGTGAGGGAAGGAGGGGAGCCTCCATCACCCTTTCCTTCTTTCCTTCCTTCCTTCCTCCCTCCCATTTTCCACCTCCTCCTGACCGAGTTTTGGAGCCAGGGCAGTCGGCCAGACCCAGCGCAGAGGCCAGGAGGTGACGGCAGGCGTGCCGTGGCTGCCTCCCAGGTGGCTGCACCCCACAGGCAAGGGCCGCTCAGCGTAGATGCTCTGCCCAGAGGATGCCTGTGCCCCCTTCCCCAGCCGCAGGGGCAGCCAGAGGCCAAGCAGCCCCCTGCCCACGGGAGCCTGGCCGCCTGAGGGCTGAAGCTGGGCGCCTGCTGCCCCCTGGCGTCCCGAAACGGCACAGCCACGGGGACCCCGCCACCCGCCTCATTCATGTCTCACACCTGGAGGTGACCCGGGCCAGGCCCTTCCTCTCTGACTTCAGCTCCTCAAGTCTAAGATGGGGGTTCTGCCCAGTGTGGCTCTCTGGGCGACAGCGGGCAGGAGCACGTTTATCACAAAACCCCAACACCCCTCAGATCTGGGGGTGGGGCGGTGTCACTGGCACCTCTGTAGGAAACAGCACGTGGGCCTCACCCATCTTCAGGGGGTGGGGGAGGGGAGACAAGGGTCCAGCTCTGCAGCGAGGTGGGCACCCGCCCTGCCGCCCCTCCCCCGTTTCCTCTCCGCTCTCACTGCCCCTCCTCCCCTCCTTCCTCCTTCCTTCCCTCCTCATCCCCAGCTCCTCCTCTTCCTCTTCCTGCCCTGTCCCCCCGCAGGCCCAGGCCCGGCCGGCAGCCCAGCGCCCTCTGCCTTCGTTCCCGCCATTGGAGCTGCTGCCTGGAGCCCCTAGGTGCAGCCAGCCCCGAGGCAGCAGCCTCTCTGTGGGGCCTGCCCCTGCCCACCGTGTGGTCACTGCCTGGACGCTGTGGACACGCACACCCTTCAGTCCTACGCACAACTGCGCCCTGGCTGCTTCAGAACAAGGAATCATAGTCCCGCTCCCAGCTGGGAGCTGGGGGCCGGCAATCAGGCAGCTGCAGAAGTGGTCAGGGAGGGCGAGGCCCACAGGCCCAGCTCAGAGAGTGAGCGGGAATAGGCCCGGGGACGGGGCGGCTGGAGAGGGCTGCAGGGCCTGGGCTGCAGCTCAGGAGCTGGCTTCACCCTGGAGGCCACCAGCTTTGCTCCTTAGCACCTGGCCCAGCAAGGGGGACAGTATGGGGAACAAGTGACAGGCACTGCCTGGCCAGCAGCAAACACAGAGGCTGTGGAGTCGAGCAGAGCATCTGCCTCTTACAAGCTGTGTGTCCTTGGGCAAGTTGCTTAACCTCTCTGTGCCTCTTCTTGCTCATCTGTAAGGCTTCTGATGAGGCACTGCAGCCCTCTTCTTGAGGACGCCACTACCCTCACCATCATCAGCCTCTCCCTCCAACCTAGAGGGGCAGGCAGGCCACAGACCTGCCACTGGCACCCCTCCGACTGTGTTGCAATAAAAACAGGACATGCCCTCTATACCCAGGGGCGTGGGCTGGCGGGGAACAGAGGCATCCATACCCCCCGTCACATAGTTCTCAGACAGGCAGGATGAAATGGGTTTTGTCTGTGTGTTTGTTTGGTTTTTGAGATGGAGTCTCACCCTGTGGCCCAGGCTGGAGTGCAGTGGTAGAATCTCAGCTCACTTCAACCTCCACCTCCCAGGTTCAAGTAATTCTCCTGCCTCAGCCTCCCAAGTAGCTGGGATTACAGGCATCTGCCACCACGCCCAGCTAATTTTTGTATTTTTAGAAGAGACAGGATTTCACCATGTTGGCCAGGCTGGTCTTGAACTCCAGACCTCATGATCCCCCCACCTTGGCCTCCCAAAGTGCTGGGATTACAGGCACGAGCCACTATGCCCAGCCTAGGATGAAATGTCATCTATATGACAAGCAGCTTGGGCAGTGAACCCCACCTTTGTCAGAGTTCAGGACAGTCCATGGGATACAGGTCACTGTGACTGTGATGCACCAGTCTTCATGCCAGCGCTGAGTGAGCACTGAGACACACATGCCCAGCACCCAGCAGTGGCCCCATCCCCCAGCTGCTGGTCAGTACCAGCTGCCACTGCTGCACACCCTCTCTGCCAGGCAGCCTCATGCCATGCACTTTACGTGCAAATGATCTTGTCTGATCCTCACAAGCATCCTGTGAGGCAGGGATTAACACTGTCCCCATTTCACAGATGGGGAAACTGAGGCTCAAGAGTTCCAGGCCCATGCAAGGCCTGGTAAATAGTGAAGATGCCAGCCTGGTGGGGCTGACTGCAGAGTGCATGTGTAAGTGCTGGGCTCTGTCACAGCACTGGCCCCTGGCACATATGCTGCCAGGATTTTAAGATTGGGGCCCGCTTGCTGAGCCCCATTTACAACTGCCCCCTTCCCTGGGTTACTCCAGGTTTTAATTTGCAGCAATTAGTGAATCGAACTCATGTGGGGTCTTATTTGTATTTGCTTTTTAGTTTTTTGTGTTTTGGGGATTTGAGGTTTTAGTGTGCTCAGCGCGGTGTGTGTGCGCACAGATGTCAAGAACGGAGATTTGGGAGCGTCCACCCAGATTCCAGCGGCTCCAGCGGTGGGGAGCAGCATGAGGCCCGTGTCCCTGTGTGCCTGCCTCTCTGCTGACCCCTGCAAGGGTTGGGGAAGCGGCAGGCAAGGTGCCCTGGGGAAAGCGGGCTCTCAGCTGCTGCCAGCAGCCTCCAGGTCTGGGGAGTGAAGTGAGGAGGGGCCCAGAGCTGTCTCTAGCCCCACATTGCCTCTCCTGGGGTCCAGAGTGAACCCCTGTGCTACCTGAGGATTAGTGTCCGCCTCCAGAGGGCACCGGGCAGGATCCACGCTGGAGAGGGCTGGGGCGGGCGGAGCCAGGCATGGGGCGGGCCCACGGGTGGGCGGGGAAGGAGCGGGTCCTTCGGGGGGCGGGGCGGGCTCGGCCAACGAGAGCGCAGAGGCCGCGGCGAGGGCGCTCCCGGAACGCGCAGTGGCGAACGGCGAGTGCGGGAACTCGGCCCCAGAGGGGCGGTGCCTGTGCCAGGTCAGCCCCCGCGAGGGCGGGGCCGGGGCCGGGCTCTACGCGGAAGGACCGGTGCCCAGGTCACCCAGGAGCGCTCACCCCACCGGCACCCGTGCCCAGGCCCACCCCTGCGAAGGCAGGTACCCAAGCACACCCCGGCGAGGGCGGCCCCTGAGCCCCGAACCCCGAACTCCGGCGCAGCGCCGCTCCTCTGCCCAGTGATGTGCCCCTGACGCTCCTGCTGGGGCTGCCCTGCTCCCCACAGCCTTCCCGAGCCCCGGGACCGCTGCTCCAGGGCCCTCAGTGGGTCTCCCCGTCCTGCCCCACCGGCCCAGATGTGCAGTCAGGTGTTAATGTGGCAGATTTTGGGGAAGGCTTCGGCAGCCTCAGAATCCAGCACCCACCAGTTGGAGGCCGGGAGGGGAAGGGCGGGACAGACAGCACCCTGCTGTGGGAGGTGAGGCCGAGCTGCCTGGCCCGGGGAGCCTGCAAGGCTGAGCTGTCTCCCCTATGCACTCCAAGACCAATCCAGAAGCCCCTTGGAGCTCTGGCTGCTGGCCACAGAGGAAGGTACACCTTCCCTGAGAGCTGCGTTGGGGACAGGGCCACTGTAGGCCTAAGGAGGCCCCCCAGGCACAGGGACCCAAATCAATCCTCTGGCCGCAGAAGGCACTGATGTTTGGAGCTGCACACAGCCATCTCTCCGAGCCTCTGCCTCCCTCTACAAGTGGGGCATGGCGCCTTCCTGTGTCAGGCATCCGGGCACTGAGCCGGGCACTGAGCTGGGCACTGAGGCTGGCCCACCTGCAGGGGTAGGTGGAGCAGTGTGTCCCTGCCTCCCCTCCCATGGAGGCTCTGTGCCTGGAGACCAGCAGTTGTCCAAAGTAGAGAAGAGGGGCCACCTGACGGGTCCTCTAAGGTGCAGGTGGCAAGAGAGCCCCGCTGCGGGGATCCTCTCTTGCAGGCAAGCCCAGGCTGGTGC